CAGCTACAAAAAAAAAAAAAAAAAAAATTTTTTTAATAAGATACGTATCTTCTAAATATGAAAAGTCTGGACTAAACAAATCAACTCTATGTCCAAATTATTATAGTTTGATAAGTGATAATATGTACAGTAATTCAAAATACTAAGTGTCTTCAGAGTGGACCCCTATATCTTCTTTATCCTCAAATGACAGCAGAGCATTTCAGTGTATTGGTAGTTATGCCACTTACATCGATTTATTCTTCCTCAAATTAAAATTTTAAGTTCAGAGGTAAATTCACAAGATTATATTCTGAGGCATGTGTGTTGTGTTATCTATAGGTTGAAATATAAACACTCTCTTCCAATGTTTAATCAAAAGCCTGAAATTTTTAACTATAAAAATGCCTAAATCAGTCATGTTAGGGCAAATGTTGCTGTCTTCATTTAATTCATTTGGCATCATTTGCCAAAAGAAATACACAAAGTCATACAACTACTATTACTTGAAATTTTTTTTCCACTAAGGAATTGATAACTGTTGAGGATGTAATGCATAAAAAAACCAACAACCACAAAACAAAAAAGCAACTCATCACTTTCTATTTACTTGTTTTCAATGTGTTAGAATCATAAAATGATAAAGTAGACACTGCCTCTTTGAAAACTGAGTGTTGGAGCTGAATGAATCAAAGCCTCTCAGCTTCTCTTCCTAGAGGCCAGGGACTCTATTAATTCTCATAATTACTTATTAATCACCATCACTTTTTCTGTAGTATTGACTTACAATGTTCTATTTATTATTTATCAAGTTGTAGTTATTTTGTTATTGTTTATGCCAAATATTCATTGCCAAGCTTGGAATGACCTAGAACATTTTTCAAAAGCATGATTAGATTTACTTCAGGATCAATTATCTTATGAAAACCAAATTTGAAAAGCCACAGTGTTAATTGTTATAAAATAACACTGCCATTCTTGATTGCTAGAGCTTTGTTAGCACCTTAGATGCAATTGAAACTATGCTCTATTACATGTAAAAAGTTTAATAAATTCTGTACATCATTAGTGTAGGTCTCAATATTTATTATGAGACCAGTGGTTTGGAAATAGCTTGTTGCATTAAATAATCAAATGGTGTGTCAGCTAAAAAAAAAAAAATTTTTTTTTTTTTTTTTTTAACCATCAGCTTTAAGTCACTGCTTAATTAGTATCACACAGAAATATTCTAAATAATTTCCTTCTAGAAGCTTTAAGGCCAAAATAACTGAAGCATTGTCTTAAAAGTGGATCTGTAGAATTTATCTTTTTATAAGAATATTGTGATGACTCAACAAATTATTTTTTTCTACCAACTTGTCTTCAATTTTTTTTTTAAAATCCCAACATTTTCTTTTTATCACCTTGTTTTCTGGGTGTTCTGGCCTGTTACTGTCTTTTTAACAAAGCGAAATGGAGTGAGAGGGCAATTTTTTGATTTGACTGAGTATCTTCCATTCTCTTAATGCCCATATAGAGAAAAACAACAGAACTGGGGCTGGGGATTAGGATACATATGTGGGTGTTATGGATGGTTGTGAAAGGAGAAATTGGAGTCTCTTTTCTAGGCATGCACTAACGCATATGTTAGAAATGATTTATTTTAAAGCACTCTGTCCCTTAAAAGGAGCGCTGGTGGCGAAGTGCCTAAGGCATCTGACTGCTAACCAGAAGGCTGGCAGTTCAAACCCACCAGCCATTCCTGGGAAGGAAGATTGGGCAGTCTACTTCCGTAGAGATACTTACTGCCTTGGCAACCCAAGGAGGGGGCAGTGAGTTTTTTTGTTGTTGTTTGTTGTGTTTTGTTTTGTCCCTTAAATGTAGAATGAGGAGTTTAGAAAACCTATGGATTTAGGAACATTCAAAATGGCTTTTCTAGCAGATTCAATATTATGAATTCAGACACTTAAATCGTGAACACAGTAATTACTAAGAACACTACATAGAGGTCCTGGTTACCTGATTTTGTTTTGTGTTTGGCACCCGTAAGAAAACAGAGAAACTTGAGAGAGATCTCAAATATTTAAGGACTCAAGAAAAAAGTGTAATAAGAGAAAATATCTCTTTCTTACAAAGGAATATCCTTAATTTATTGAATTTGTAGAAAGTAAAATGGGAGTTCTCATGCTTATAAGGCCAAAGTAATCAGTGGAAGGGAGTAGTACTTGTTAATTAGATTATCATCTTAGAAACACAAAAGCAACTACTGAAATAGAGGGGAAAATGGTTAATTTGGGCTCACTGTTTCTGGATCTGTTATTCAAGATATACATACTGTCTTTTTCTTTTTTGTACATGAAAACAATAAAAATTCTGTAATTTGGGTATGGATGGGTTCTTTTGTATGTGTTACCTATCTACTGAAGAAAGGGTTAAGTAAATACATGAATTTTTCTCTAAACTTTTCACGTCCTAGATGTGGAAAAGACCATGAGCAAATATACTGTGGATCTGTGTATCAAGTAAAACTGAAAAAGTTACCTGCTGGCAATCAAAAGGCATTTCTTAAGTGACACAAGTGCCAGACCAGATGCCCATAGGCAGTATGTAGGATCACATGTGTTTCTTTAAAACCCTTTAAACTCTGATGAAAAATCAGAGACTTCGGCCCAGGGTGGAGAGATGTTTGGCCATTAATTAGTCCTTATTTTTGCTGATTGTCCAATTCTAACTAGCTTAATTGTAGAGACCATGTTGGCTCATAGTTAACGTAAAATATTATCACATTTAGGTAAATCTGGAAACCTTAGATTCAACCATCTCTGTTACTGACTGAACATAAATTTATAATCCCTTTGAAACAAAATGAACCAAAGGGCTTCTCCTTATACAGAACTCACTCTTGGTTTGTGAGCCCCTGGAGGACAGTGCCTGCATGTGGCTATCACCTGCCAGGATTTTGTATATAAGAAAATACTTCTTGGTGACTAAAATTCTTGCCAACTCTTGTATGTACATTTGATGCTACTTAGGTTGGTTGATAATGTGGCTATTAGAATTTGGATTGTGTTGATTTGTAAATGGGTATGGTCTTTCACTTTAACATTGTCCATTTCAATACATTTTAAAGTTTTCTCATTGGTTTCTAGGATTCATACTCTGTTCTAGTTTGACTGTTTCTTAGTATTCTCTTTCTCCAGTCTCCTAAAGTGTTCTCCATAACCCCTTTAATGGTCTTACCCATTTCTAAGGCTGAAATTACTATCTTTAGAAAGATACTAGTATCTCCCCAGCCCCCTGTACTTTCTTCCAAGTTTTTTCATACATGAATTTCTAATTACCTCCTTGTCATCTTCACCTAGCTACTAAGAGCCACTGTCCAAATCCTAAGACCACATGATGCTTCTGATGCTATACCAAAGGCAGAGAACTCAGGCATAACCTGAAGCCAGTTGATACAAACTCTTATATCTTATAGTCAGATGAAGTTTGCATGCTTCTAAGAAAGTGCTTAATTTTTTTTTTTTTTAAGTGTTAGTATTTAACCTCAAAACTTCAAGAAAAACAGCAAGCTTAAAGGTGTATCCTACTTATCCCGTGAGTGCACACAGCCCATCAACAATTACATTAATAACTAAATGGTTTATCCAAAAATGCCTTTGCCACAGTCCTCAAGGAATTTATCATCTGTTTGAAGCAGGACCTGAATATGATATATCTATCATATTTTAGAGGAACTCTGGTAGCGTAGTGCCTAAGGCACTTGACTGATAACCAGAAGGCTGGCAGTTCAAACCCACCAGCCACTCCTCAGAAGGAAGGTTGGGCAATATACTTACGTAGTGATCCTGCTTCAGAAACCCAAGGAGGGGTCACTATGAATCAGGTGCGACTCAATGGCACATAACAACAACAACTGGATTTTAGAATTGGGACCTTACTAACCCCATTTGTTTTGCTGATACTGGGTGTGCTATTTAAGTTTACAAAGCATTTCCTTAGATTTGGCACAGAGGATAATAGCTTGGTTTTACGAGTGAGGAAGCCAAGTCAGCAACATTAAATTGGCTTGCCTAAGATCAGGATAAGGAGCTCTGGTAGTGAAATGGTTAAGTGCTGACTGCTACTTAAAAGTTTGGCGGTTCGAACCCACTAGCTGCTCTGAGAGAGAAAAGACCTGGTTGATCTGCTTCCATAAAGGTTACAGCAAATAAAACTCTATGCGGCAGTTCCACTCTGTCACACAGAGTCCCAGTACCTAAGGTAATTTTTTGCCTTCTGTGTCCAGTTAGTGAGAAAGGGATTCCCTCCCCAGAATTATGGGGATAGCTGAGAACATC